CAATCTAACTTCAAAGTTCGGTGAAAAAACACAAGTTGTAGGACGTTAATTTTTAGGAACATTTTCTGACATTTAGTTTTTTCCTAATTAACCCATTTTGAGAAAACCGAACTCGAGAAACCACAATTAGAGAAAATATTGTTTGATTTCTCTGAATTTTTTTTTATCAGTTTCTTTGCACCATTTGTCACAGAGAGCTTAAATTAATTATATCTAACCAAAAGACTATGAAATGACTTTCAAGGAAACTACAAGTAAAATCGCAAAAAAATCAAAGTTTTCCTAAAAGTTTTCCTGAAAAAAAACGTTCAAACATCCTAACCCTGAAATGCTTGAAGCTGTGCGTGCGGCAAAAAAAAACAAATTTCGTCACCAAATATCCGAGCGAGTTAGGTTGGAAAAAGAAGTAATGAGAAGGTTACAAAAAGAAGTAAGAAAAAGAAGGTTGAAAACTGACATAATTTAGTACAGTTTGTACATAAAATCCAATTATAAGTTTTGATGTATAAATTGGTTTTCATCTTAAATGAATTTCCTTTGACCAATTCTTCTTTAGAATAGCTAATTTGTCTCTTAACACATTCGCACAGACGAAAAAAAAACAATCAACAACTGGAAAACATTCAGAATGAAGCATAAATAGAAGAAACAAAACGATAACTTTGCGCAGCGGCAAAAATGTGTCAGAGTCCCGCTTGGACAAAAAACTTTAGACAAAAAACCACTTCGTACAATTTATTATAATAGAAGCCAGCATAAAAAATTTATCATGGTTACGCTCTAAAATTTGAGCTTTGACAAACTTTTTGAAAGAAAAAGTCTTGTAAAAGTATAACTTAAGCCAAAACATAGCCAAAAGACAGTTGGAAGAGAGTAAATAAATGCAAGGATACAGAAACAAATACTGACATTTAAAAAAAAAACATCCATTTTCGTACTTCAAAGAAAAAAATAAACTATTGGCCTTGAAGCTGTTTGAATTTCAGCAAAAACTTATGATTGAAATGTTTTTGATAAAATTTATTCAATTTGACACAAATAGATCATTGTGTTAATTTTTATTGCGCTGGGAAAAGATAAAAATTAGTTCTACTTTCGAAACCTTTCACGTCTTTTCGCGCCATTTTCACTATCGTATTTGGAGAGGGCATTTGGCCTACCTTTTCGCAAAAAAACTTGAATTGAGCTCGAAAAAATCAAACATACCTAATTGCGATCATATATAACAAAATAAAATTTGTATGAATGCACAACACACAATTTGTTATTAGAGCATTTTAATTTTCTTAATAAAAAACCACCAAAATCTATATAAGAATTCTCACTATATTCATCGATTCTTTAAAAGTCTTTACTGAATTATAAAACGAGTAGCTTGAAAGCTCATTTCAAACACAGACCGGCAACAAAAATCAGCCGAAAACAGTAACGCTGAAAGACCAAAAAAATGAAATCAGCCGACGAAAATCAGTACAATTTAACTGCAAAGTGTTTGCAGTAATTTTTTAGCTAAATAGTATTGCACTAAAATATTTACAAATTTCTCACTTTGATGAGGAAAAAATAATATCAAAATTTAATTCATTTTGAATGTAAAATTTCTCTAAATTTTGATTTAAATTTAAGGAAATTTTCAACAAAGCTCTCGTTAAGTTTTGAGTTACTTTTTGGTAAAACGAAATAATTCAAATGATAATCTTCGACAACTTGCTGCAGTTTCAAAGCCTCTCGCAACGTCGTCTTAGTAGATTTTATCATTACTGCTTTGCGAGGTATTTCGGTCATGTCTTCATAATATACCACCAAATTGTCGGCTGTGTGCGTATTGCTGGAGTCCCAAGGCGCCGGAGTTTCAAACATGACTAATAGCTGGTCGTAGAAGTTACAATTTTCACTGAAAAAAAAACGTAGAAATTAGTTCTCTAGAGTCACGGCTAACCTTCAACAAATACCAAGAACTGGGATCATCACTATCTGCTGAAGAACTTAACCGACATAAAAAAAACAATTCCAGCACAGTTTTCCAGATTCTTATTAAAAAGTATTTGGCTAAATAGATATGTGACGTACCTGATAACTTTTTAACCTGCCTTTCTTAATTCAAAAAATAGATTGATGGGCACGATTAGAAATGTTTAATCAAAAATGACTCGAATTCTTCTAAAATTATGAATCAGGAAGGAGAAACATGATTACTATAAGATATTTAAGCTAGTAAATTAACTTACTCGAAGCTTTCGATAAAATCACATTCCATGTATGCAGGATAGAAAAAGGTGATAGGCCACGACAAGCTATTCGAAGCAGAGTCAAAAACAGGCACAGCTGCAAACGATTCGTCCGGCCATTTCGATCTCACTTTAACTCCTCTATTCTGAATCGCATTCTGAACTGCATTTATTTTCTGCTGCTTCAAGTTCTCTTTCCTTTCATTTCTAAGCTTTATTTTCAATTTCTTTCCAGCTTCAGCTTTCAAATTTGAGATTTTAGGGTCATCGTTTGACAAAGCAAGAGTAACTTCACAAGTTCTAACGCAGTCCTCGTAATATTCTAGTTCATAGAAACATAGACAGAGGCGATTCAAAGCTTTTAGGTGATCTGGTTTGCACTTCAGTGCTTCGGTTGCGTCTAACATAGCGGAACGTCTGTTTCCGAGGTAGTAATGAGATGCTGCTCTATTGGTATAGAACACTGCTGCTAAGTCACTGGCGAGAGGGTTCGAACTTGTCAATGGTGTTAATCTCTGCAAAGCATCATTAATAAATGCAATTAATATTTTTTTACCATTAACTGGTTTCATTTTTCTGTTTCCTTTCAACATTTTCAACTTCACGCAGCTGTGTTGATCAAATGGCGCACAGACCATTCGGCCAAAGACAATTCAGCCAATTTGAAATTCAAACAATTCAGCCATAAATATACAGACAATTCAGCCAAATTGAAATTCAGACAATTCAGCCATAAATATACAGACAATTCAGCCAAATTGAAATTCAGACAATTCAGCCAGAAATATACAGACAATTCAGCCAGTTTTACAAAACGCTAGATTGGGAAGAAAAAAAATCGCAATTGGAGTTATTTCTCGGTTTAAGGTCGCCGGTGGGAGCGCTACGCGCGCGTCGCGGCAATAACCGGCTCTAAATTTCGTATTGAGTCCTACCCTCTGTTGGCAAGCTCGTAACACGTTGGCGCGACTGCGGCGGTCACTATTATTGGCTGAATTGTCTGCATACTTTTGGCTGAATTGTCTGAATTTCAAATCGGCTGAATAGTCTGTGGCCGAATTGTCTGGACGCAGATCAAATTTGGGTTGATCAAACTGACTTTTGAGATCTTCTAAATAAAATCAATGAATTTAAATGAACTCACTGAATAAAATCACTGAATTTAAAATCTCTTTTGATAAAAATGCCCGCGAGTTTTTTAATAACCCTCTTAAGTACCTTGATTGCGTCTGTGTACGACACAATAGCATCCTTGTACTTTTTCTTTTTAAACAGGTCATTGCCCTCCTCCTTCAGCTCCTCACAATATGCAACAGGGTCATCCTCGTCGTACTTCAGGGCTGTCAATGCCTATAATACACAAATATCAAAAACAAATAGACCGCCAATCTGGATACACTCATGCATACATTGTATGGTACTGTTTTTGATGCTTTAGTGGATGAAATTTGCCCATAAGCAAGCGTCTATTAAATTGCTACTCTTTTAAACCTATCAGTTTTTTCATGTATGAATGCAAATTCATCATGAAACGCTTCAGAAAATATTGTTGATTTTGAAAACATAAATATAGCGAACAGAAAGTAAAAAAAGTGTCAATGAACTACAGGAAAATAAAAAAAAAACGATTTACTTTATTTGAACATTTTTGAGATTTCGAATTTAAAAATATATAAGCTTAAAGCTTATTGAATTTCAAGAATTTTTTATACTGTCAGTTTTTCAATAAAGTGCCCAAATCAGAGAAAAGTAAGTAAGATCAATGAGTATTCTTTATTCCGTAGTTGGAGCTTAATTTGCTTGTTTGTTTCGACCATTGAAAATGGGTATTTTGTAATCAAGTGTTTCTTTTTTTTCTTTTTTACGCAAAATCAGGTACCAAAAATAACCATCATAATGGGCGAGTAATATATCATTCCATTCATGATTCGAACAAGGAAACTTTCAAAAAATTGTCCCAGTGTCAAGAAAACCCTGTTTGAATTTTTTAAAAAAGTTTTCAACTGAATTCGAGCGATCTAGTAAATAGATCAAGTAACATTCGTTATGGAAAATGGTCACTAAAAACATGATTTTACAAAACGAAAACTAGTGTTCGGAAACATCATTTAGTCATTCCCTTGCAATAAAAGTTTTTTATAGTTTTAATTATTGTACTTTTTCACAACTTTCTAATTATTTTTTCAATACCTTGCTGTCAATTATGCCTAATTCGTTCGTAATTGGAGAGTGATATCTTCCTTCCTTTTTGCGAATCGATTTGAATCGGATTCAAAAAATGAAAAGTCACTCTGCCAAAAGTCAAGGTTGAGCGCAACGAAATTTTCCTGAGAAAAAAAAGCCGCTCGACCTATATAAGTCTCTTCACTTCGTTCATTGCCATTTAACAATTCGTGGTTTTCAACTAACTTGCAGCAAAGTGCTTTTTTCGATTTCTTCTGGTGTTGGCTGCTTTTGCAAAAAGAGAGGGTGCAGCCGCAAATACTCCAGAAGATCCTCCACATTCTTTGAGTGTTTCAGAGTTACGCCCTCGTTTAAATGCGAAACATCTTCTACGCCATCGTAGGGTGTGACCTTGGCCTCTTCTTTTGGCTGATTTTCGCTCGATGCCATTCGAGTTCAGTTACACATCAATTTTAGCGTGTGGTCAATTACTTGTTCAATAAGATCTGAAGAAGACAGATATGCTCTTATCACATTTCACGTTCAGTGAATAAAATCTGAACTAAACTCTGGTTCTTAAAAGACATGAATGATGACTTGAAAAAGATATAAGACAACAGAAAATTTTTACTCAAAACACATTAAAGTTTTAAAACAGTATGAATAGTTAAATCAAAACATGCAACGTTTTAAAAATCAAGTTTCAATCTCTCCGAAATATCATCACTCTTAATCCAATAACTCGCCAGTTAGAACTATTTGCTCAGGTGTCTGATCCGAGAGCCGTTTTCGCCGGTTGAGGTGATGGATTATCGGGATCGTGATCGGGATCGAGACCTTGAGCGAGGCGATCGTGATTTCGATCTAGAGTAAGATCTTCTTCGTCCGCCGCTAAAACAGGAAAACAGCGCAAACTATAGAAAACAAAACCTCGATAGATTTCGGGCATATGAAACAATTGTGTTTGTTATAAATTTGAGTTATCAATAATATCGTTTAAATTTCTGCACAAATATCTTACTTGAATGGTTCAAGACATGACGACGAGTGTCACGACAAGTCAAGTCAGTCGATTGTCAGACGATTAAACTATTTCCGCCAAGCAAAAAGACAATACAAACGCCAGGCGACAAACGCCAGAAGAAGAGGCCTTTTCACATTTTCTAGTCCGTATATTCAAGTGCCAAGGAGCCCGTCAAAAGATGACAGACGAACTCTGACAATGACAAGTCTCCGGCAAGACAATCGCCAAGAACCCGTTTGCTGATGCTATTACATTTTTTGAGTGTCAAAGACCTGTAGCGCACAGGTCAAGGCCCTGCTGGCAAGGGGGCAATAACGGACAGTGTATAGCTATCTATTTCACTGCAACAAGACAACTAGAGAATGCTTCGTGGCGGAAGACAAACGCGCACTTAGACAATTGCCTAAAATCATTAACCAATTTAATTTTAAAAACGATTACAGCGATAGAGATACGTTAGAACTTAAACAAATCGCCTTATTTGATTTGATCTTGCAACTTCTTACGTCATTATCAAGTTATAACGTATAAGTTATATCAAGTTCTTTTATTAGAGAGCCTTAAAAGTGGTATTATGATAGTTGGAACACATTCCGTTTCAAAAAACTTTAATCAGGAACCCTTTATATGAAGATCTGCGACCTATCATTCTTGCACCCTGAGCCTTTATGACACAGGCAACGAGTAGAGCCTTTAGGACACAGCCAAAGTAACAAAATTGAAAAAATCAAAAATTCCATAATTCATAAATTTTTCATTCAAGACATCAAAAAATCTGTCAAAAATTTCAGAAGTAAAAATTGGCCTGAAAAAACCTTATTGAGATTAAACATGACCTCTAAAAAATGTGTTACTTGAAAGTCAAAAATTGTCTGAAAACTTCTGATTCAACTGGAACCTTAAGACACGTATTTCCCCGATGGTATCAGAACATCCCGTCTAAAATTTGTAGTTAAAAAGTCCAAAGTCGTCTGGAAAAACTACGAGCACGAGCACAAAAATTCAGATCTTTTTTGAAAGTCGGAACAAAAAACAGTGAGCACGTGATCAATAGCTGAAAATATGAGGCTGTATAAAAACATAGCCGACAGATACTTGGAGAAAAGTCGATGAATCAGAAAAATAGAAAAAACACTGGCTATCTGTTTTTGAATAGTTGTTTTTATATTCGAGACCGTTGAAGCTCTTTGAATTTTAAGAATATTCTATCATTGACACTTTCTCGCTAAAGATGACCCAATGTGAGAAAACTGGATAAAAAGAACAATTTATATCCCGCTGGGAAATCTAATAATTAAATTCTAATTTCCAAACTAGAAGTCGTTCAAGGTTTTTTTCGCGCCACTTCTTTTTCTGAAACGGAGAGCAATATTTGCCTTTCTTTTAGCAAATGAACATGAATTAGCTCAAAAAGAATAGAAAAATCAAACTCCACCTAATGCATGAAACAAAACACACTAATCCAAAATTGTTATGAACACATTTTGACACTTTTTCCTAAAAAAAAAACTGCAAGGCCTCAATAAGTTTCTGAACCGTTAATCGAAACTTCATAACACATTTGCCATTCAAAAAAAAACATAGGAAACAGTCGATGAATACTGAAACGGGACTTTTTTCCAAAAAGATTTAATAGAAAACCTTGTAATTACCTAATGAGAACCAGGTGTTATTGGTTATACCCACGCTGAACTAAAAAAAAACGATAAAACAACAGAAACTGAGCTGATGAAAAGCGAAATAAACTCTTAAAATCTCTCATTTTTTCCAATCAAAAAAGTTTATTAGTACGTAATAAAAGCCGTGTAACCAAATAAACCCTGTAATGAACATATTTCAGGGGGACCGATCGTTTAGCAGACCAATCTTTTAGCATAAAAAGTGAAAAATGAGTCTTTTTAGCAGACCATGTAACAAAACTGATGCATAATTGATTGACAGATTGTAAGAAAACGCTCACTCTTGGGTCAAGCTTCCCTGTTTAAGACAATTATCTCACAATTTTTCAGCAAAACTATCAACTTCAAAAACACAAGTCTAAATTAACATCAAAACAAAGATTTACGCGCACAATAACATTCGTGTCGAAAAGAAGCGCAGCGGAGCAAGCGGTCGCTAATCGCTTATGCCGCGTTTGAAATTAGCGTTCTGACTTATTCCCAGTCTGCTAAACAACCGGTCTGCTAAAATCTCTAGCACCATATTTCAGCTCTCCCACGTGTCAGCAACTGCACGTTTCTTATCAATGAAGAAAAGTTGCTGAATACAAAAAGTGTAAAAAATGAACCTGGAGCTCTGTAAAAAAAATAGTAAAAACCTGTCCAATTGAAAGTTTAAAAACCTGTTAAATGCAATGTTTAAAATATGGCGTGTATCGTTATTTACCCTCCTCCTCCTCCCCCTCCGCCACCACGACAGTCTCTTGCAAAGTGTCCTGGACGACCACAGGAAAAGCACTCGTCACTTCGCCTATCTCCCCCTCTTCCACCACCACCGCCGCCGCCGCCGCCGCCTCCTCCTCCTCCCCCTCCTCCACCAGGACCTCTACGGGTGTCACGAGATCTCTCCACTTTCACACGGCAGCCGGCAATCTTCCTAGAGATTGAAACTTATGAAGAAGGTACTGAAGCTAGCTTTGCGTGGTTTGATTTCAAAAACATACACAGAGGCGAACCGCAGCTTCGCACCACTTGCGATACAAGACAATCATAAAAAAAACAAGATGAGAAAAAATTTGATGTTGAAAAAACCCAGGCGAACCAAATTTTTCGAATGTTTCGATTAAAAAAACGACAAGGAGCCCAGCTAAAGCTGTAGGTACGTGTTTGACATTCAATGAATTTGATTTACTGATGCGGCACCAAAAGTGTGACTTCAAATATTGGACTTTGCCCAAAGCCTTAGTTGTTTCTCTACTAAAATAAGTGAGAAAAGTAAAAGATTATTCTCTACTAAAAAGAGATAATCAATTTTCGAAAAGAGATAACATTTCTCTTGTTAAGGCTCATTTCTAGTCCCCCCTTTGATTTTTTCTGAAATTCATTATGTGAGTCTATTTAAAATAACTTCATGTTATGAAACTGCATTAAAACGTGTCAGCGTGAAAAGGTGAACAAATTGCTATAAGATTTCTAACAGGCAAATGAACAATTTTGAACATCTTTGTTTTATAATTTTATGAAGGGAGGGGGACTGGAAAAGAGCCAAAATTAAGGAGTCGCCGCTTCTGCAGGAACGATTATCGCGACCGATTCTTTCAATTGAACTTTTCATCTGACTTGATTGTGTAAATTTTAAGAAAATTTGAAAAGTTTCTAAAAAACGGTCAAAAAACTTTCCAAAACCCATAATTATTTTGTGCAAAAACCAGGTGGTGGCCGCTTAAGCAGAGAAGATTCCCAAAACCGGGTTTCTCGATTGAACACAACCTGAGCATGGCCCGGCAGTTTTCGCCGAAGGTCAATAAGTTTCCGAAAAACTGTCAAAGTTTCAAAAATGTGATTTGTTTGAAGTCCACTAATGAAGTAACTAATTTCTTAAACAAACTGAGAAAAGCCAATTATAAAGAAAGGCTTTCAAAAATTTGAACCTATGATATGAGAAACTGATGTCAATCATATGCAACAACTTGACATTTCCGAGAATCATAGCTTTTTGTGTGAAAAAAAAGGTCGTCGCCGCTGAAGCAGAAGTTAATCAAAGCAACCTGTAATTTCGACTGAACCCAAAATCTAATTTGGGAGGGTAGTTCGAGAAAAGTCAAACTTTCAAAAAAACGGTCAAAAAATCAAACTTTTGACTTTTCCAAGGGCCATAACTTTTGGTGTCAAAAATTGGATGTAGCCCCATATGCAAATGAGCTTCCCACAACTCTTTTTTTAAATTTAACCTAAAATCTCAGATTGCAGATGAGGCGAGATTATTCAAAAAGTTCAAAAACAAACGAAAAAAAAAATCAAATTCGTCTTTTCCGAGCGCGATAACTTTTGTGTAAAACTTTTTATGAGTGGCCGCTTACTCAGAGAAGTTTCCCACTACCCGTTATGTACATTGGACCCACAATATCAGATTTCAAACGTTAGTGTTTGACAGAAGTCCAATATTCACAAAACGGTCAAAAAACTTGACTATTACGATGGCCATAACTTTATGAGTAATAAAAATTGGGCGTAACCCTTTATTCAGCATAGCTTTTCAAAATCATTCTAAACCAAAACCTCAGTTTTGAGCGGTGTAGTTTTCAAGAAAACGAAAAAAAAACCAAAACTGTTAGGCAAATATTCCCCCACAGACTTTTTCGAAGGCTGTAGACAGAGGGTCAAGTAAAAAGAGACTCTAGGGGAGTATGCAGGCACACAGGCGAGTAGGCGGTCTTTCAATTGATACCCATTTTTTGAAAAACAGTAGAAGTTTCTGTGGAAAGTGAATATAAAAAAGTGAAAAAAAAAAGATAAGCACGCAAATAATTGACCGACTATTTTATTTGAAACAGAATATTCCTGTGAAGAAAGTTATTTACGGGAAAAGTCTAGTACTCGGTTGCAATACCCTTGCTTATCGCAAGGGTAATAAAATCAAGAAAGAGGCCTGTTCGATGAAAGCATGTAATATATAATACTAGTGTTTATTTAGAAACTAAATGTTCATCAAAAGTCAATTAGTGCGAATGGGGAAACTGAAAACCCGTTAAGAGCTATTAATGGTAATAGATTTCCGTCCAAAACAGGAAAAGAGTCAACAAATAGCCTTGGTTTTGATGGATCAATAGCAATGGCGTTATCTAGTTCTTCAGATGGTTGACCTTCCATGTGATAATTGAGATGAGCTGAAGATGAATAAGTTGGTATAACCTTGCTTTTGGTTTGGTTGAATCTGCACTAACGTACATTAGTTTTTCATAAACAAATCTAAGAATGCTAATCTACCTTGATCGAAAATCCATTGATGGCAATCCCCTTTAATGGTCGTTAATCCCCCCGTCAATTTTTGAACTCGCTGATTTGACACGCCAACAAATTTTCTCTAACCGAATATACTGATACTTAATTTGATGATTGTGTATTCCATACCTCTCTTGCTTTTAATTTATTAAATAGCCAACAGATAGTTCAAAAGCCTAACCCTAAGCTTAACTAAGCCGGAAAAACATGATTGAGCTTCAAATAAGTAAACAAATGCCAACCGCCAAAACAAAATTAAGCCCGACTAAATTTTAATGCATTTTTTTCTCAAAAAACACACGGCCTCAGCGAGTGAAATTTAATTTTATTTTTAACACTGGGCCAAGCCTTCCAATGGGTTTTGACTTGTCACCAAAATCTCTGTACTTTAATTTGATCATCGCGTATTTAAACCCAAGCTAAATCGCCATGCTAAACCTAAACCAAGCTAAATTGCCAAAAATTTGATCGGCTCTTGTATATACCTTCCGTCCATGTCTCGCCTGGCATCGTCAGCATCTCTCTCGTCGACCATGTGAACAAATGCATAGCCTTCCTTCATGAACACACGCTCCACTTTCCCGAACTTCTCGAATGAATCGTAGAGATCTTTTGACTCCACGTGGCGGTCTAGATTTCCCACGTACAGCTTATGACCTGCCACTGACATTCTACGATCTGAAAAATTGAGACTTTTGAAATGTTTATAGTACTTTATTAAATTTTGTGAAATCTTTCGTGTAGTATATGATTCAGCTTGTAGACAAACAGATGAAACTGTTTTCTTTTTAAAAAGCTGACTCAAAGTCATCCTTAGCGGATCGGATCAGTCAAACGACAAGCTCTCACGTAAATCAACATAGTTTTTGAAGCCTCTGCTGAAAGGATAAATGAAAGCATGTTCATCAAAATCTCTTTTGAATAAATTACAGTAAAATGGGAAGAAAAGAACACAAATGCAGATTGAGATAATAAAATCAACATCATTCAAGTCAACAGCAACAGAATATTGTGGTTCCTTTGTCGTTCTCAGCCAAGTGAGTCGGACAAACGGAAGTATTGCGGCGGCAGGTGAGTGAGGGGTCGACCTCTTTCTACGCACCCCTAAATCCGATATTCGAAACGGTAGGGGTTCACAGGTCGCGATCAGCCCTGGCCTCATCTCATCTTGTACAGATACTTTTGAGATGGCGTTTTCGAAATTTTACCGTCAAACTCAATGTGGAATTCAAAGTCCAAGTCTCTCTAAAATCAAAAAACGAACTTAATTTATAAATTCTTTTGAGCTGAGCATGCCAATAAAACCGAGCATGTTGACGAAAACTAAAAGAATCATGTTCTCTAATTAGTATACCATTGCAACTTTAATACTTCGACCTAAATATCATAAGAAAGTCCAGAAATGTTCAGAAAAGATTCGAGTACTTTGTTTCGTTTGTTCTGTGACATTTCGATAGTGCCCTTGAGTTCCTCGTTCTTGCACACTGTGAGGTAGTCATTCAAATAGAACACTGTCTGCTTCCAATGTGTGTAGTCGCATTCGGGAGCTAAAAGAAAACGATATTTCATAAGGTCAAGTCATCTACTTCATTTAATATTGATTTATCAGTGCTGATTTAAAATATCCGGCCGAAACGAACAAAACTGTCAAATTAAGATGCGTTTTTATCAAATTGGGTTGAATTTAGACCAAAAACGATGAAACAAATCTTGCTTAAAAATTTACCAAAACTAATACAGCGCATTTTATGTTGCGAAATTTGGACCCAAAATTTCACATTAAAAAGAATCAACTTTCCCATTTTCTTATTCAAGCTAAAATTAGGCCAAACTATTGTTCAATTGCTGAGAAAATTATATTCCAGTAACCATCTTCGGTAGTCCAACAAAGTTTAAGAGGGATATAATCTCCAAAAATTGACGCAAAATATTTAAAAATTGTTGTTAAATAAAACATAGGTATTTCATATAGTAAAAATGACATTTTTTGGTTATCAAACAAAAATAAATTTGTTTATACAAAATTGACAAGATTATACCCTGCTTTAACTTTGTTGGGCTGCTTATGAGGCCTACAGTGATATAGTTTTATCAGCAATTGAACCAATAGTTTTCGTGTAATTTTTGATCAAATAAAAAATGCGTAAATTGATCGATTTTGGGATAAAATTTTGTACCCTAATTCCACAAAACAAATTGCACCATATTAAGTCTGCTTAAATTCTAAGCAAGATACGTTTTCAACATTTTTTGTCTAAAATCAACCCAATTTGAAAAAATCAACCCAATTTGATGAAACGCGTTTTAATTTCGAAGTTTTATTCGCTTTGTCTTGATAATTGAAATCGGCACTGTACAGAGCTGATTTGAAGTATCCGGACGGAACGATCAAAACTTGAAATTTAAAATGCGTGTTTCTCAAATTGGGTAGACTTGAGACAAAAAAGATGATTACATAACTTGCTTAGAATTTGAGCAGAATAATATGGTGAAATTTCTTTTGCGAAATTCGGGCCGAAAGTTTTACCCCAAAATCAATCATTTTTCGCACCTTTTATTCAATTTAAAATACGGCAAAACAGCCAGTTTAAATTTCAACAAGACAAAATCAAACTGAGCCTCTTTTTTATAGCTTAATAAAGTTTAAGAAAGGCATTTTTGTTTGATATCCCAAAAAAATCTATTAAAAACAACTTTCAAACCGTTTGCGCAATATTTTGGAGATGTTTCCTTTGTTAAACTTTGTTTGTCAGTTGAAGAAGCTCAATTCCATATAGTTTTGTTGAAAATTGAACCGGCAGTTTTGGTGTAATTTTTGATTGAATAAAAAGCCAAAAATCCATTTTGGGGGTAAAATTTTGGTTCCAATTTTTGCAAAATAAATTGCAACATTAATTCTGCTAAAATTCTAAGCAAATTTTGTTTCATCAGGTTTTGTCTAGTCAACCCAAATTGAGAATTAGTTTAATAAGTTTCATCCGGAGAATTCAAGATAGCAGTTTACGTCATCTGGTCTAGTAATTTATCGATAAAAAGAACATTTGGGCCTTTCTGAGAGTTAAAGCAAAACCTTAGGAACACTGCAATGCCTCAATGTGATAACTTAGCAAATGCCTAAAAAATTTTAATGTCAAAGTTCGAGAGAAAATGCGTGAATAACGAAAAATGAATAATATAAACGAACACGTTGAGAATCCGATGCGTCTGTGGCACTTTGAGAACTCCACATCGAAGAAACAGACTATAGCATGCACATAGTCATTCTTCTTGCACTTGAGTGTGAAGTCACTCTTGAAATTACTGTCTCCCACTTTGTACTGGTACAAGTCCACTTCCCTCACCATGCAGGAGTTTGTCACGACGTTCTTGGGGTCAATCGAGTCTACCAGGGGCTCTGACATGGCTACTTTACGCATGTGGGACATGTCAAACCCATACACATTCGACCACCCTGCCAAAAAACACACTTCATCATTCAAAATCGAAAGAAACCATTTTTTTTCAATCTGCTGTATGCAAACGGTCATCCTATTGCAAACGGATGGCAATGGGCACATATTTATTGCATTCACCCTAAAACAACATTTAAATTAACATAAAACAAAAAAATTAAGACTACAGAATTTTCAATTTTTTGGGCTTGTTCTTATAACTATTAGTCAATAATTTGTCATTCCCCATTCCATTTACGTAGAAAAGGACAAACATCACTTGCCGGACAATTTATTATAGTGCTTTTCTTTTTGATGTGTAACGTCAATCAATTCCTTGAACTTCTTCATGGACAATTGAACTTTGATTCACACTTTCATTTGAAGCAATAACTCCTCATCTTCAATACTTTCATGCTTTTCTCGCTTGAACAATTGTTTCACATTTCAATTGCTCTGCCAACGTTGAATTCAATTTCAAACAAGCCAAGCATCTTTGTTCAGCAATTGACTATGCTCCAATTATTGCACAAAGAAAAGAAAACGCAAAGAAAGGAGAAAAAAGAGTGGTGCAACTAACAGTTGATCTTTTCGTCTTTGTAGCTTCTGTCCTCAATTGCAGTGACATATAGCCTTGCTATGTCAGGGAATAGAATGCCGTCGGGTTGCTGAAACACAATAACTCCCATTCAGTCAATTAACTCAACCCTAGCCCAGCCCAGCATGTGAATTGCTGAATACACGGTCGGATAACCAATTCTATGGGCAGTCTATTCTTTTGTACGTGTCTCTGAGTATGAATCCATATTAGTTCTATTTTGATTACCCTCTCTATTCTACAGATTTTCAAAGTTATACTCAAATAAATTTAATTTTCTAGCTCTCAGAGAAACTCGCGTAGATAAAAACAGCTCAAAAAATCAATCACAATCGCAACCTTCTATGAAAGAAACAAATTCAAATATGCAAATGGAAAAGATCATTTCAAAGGCAATCGAAACTGTTCAAAAATACAAACGGTCAGATTAAGTAAAAAAGGCATTTTTCCCAAATATTATGTCGTAAATAACTAAAAACATGAATGTCAGCTGCAATAGGTAGAGAACTAATGCTAGTTCTGGATACTTGTCAACATGTATTGCTCATCATGTTTCCAGAGACCTCCTCCTCCTCTTAACATTTACTCTCAATTCTCATTTCATTTTCAGCACCGCTGCTGACCACATGCGAGGGCAAAATACAACAGAGTTGGCAGCGAATTAATTCGGCTCAAAATTAAGGGAAAACTGAATTGGGACAGCTATATGATTCAAATATTATATCACTAGAAGCAAACTCTACCATTTTTTACTTGATTTTGCACTGAGGGGAGAAAACTAAACAATTAAAAGTCCAATTTGTTTTAAATTTGTTTTTAAAAAAATTCTCAAAAAACATCTGACACAGTGAAATGCAGTTATGTGAAATCAAAGCGTAGAACTTCAGAAATAAAACCACCTCAATCCAATTTACATAACAACAAACAATTTTTGCTTTTAAAGCGATACAAAATAGATTAGCGGAAGACATTTAGACTGAATAAGGCTTCAATGCGAAAAAAGGAAAAAAGAAAACACAAGAAGTCAGGGCTACTAATCTTACAATATACAGTAGTAAATCAAAACACTTTCAACTGCAATGAAATTGCTCACAAATCATGAAAAATCAGCAATCTGTTTATCTGACAAAATAGCAGCAGAAAAACGAATGTTTTCCAGGATTTGTTTTCATATATCATGTATATTGAAAAAAAACGAGGTCCGGCTGGGACTGGAACCTCAAACCTCAGGTTGTTAAGGCACCCGCGGTACCTCTTGACCAAGTAGTACGGACCGAACCTGGAAGTTAATCAGTTTCAAAAAAAAAGAAGTTACATCACTTGCAGATTTGCAAGAAAGTTTGTTTACAGAAAAAAATGACACTTGAACTCGCAAGTTTAAAAAAAAATCCACCCAAAGTTGGGAAAACCAGATCAATTGATGAAGCTTTAATTCCACTGGGAAAGTTGAAAATGAAAAACCAATTTCGAAGCTTAAATTCGTTCGAACATTTTTTCGAGCCTTTGGAGAGCGTAAAAATGCCTTCCTTTTCGTGAGAGAATGAAAATTAAACTTGAAAAGAAGCCCATGGTCATAACCTGAAATCAAACTCAACCTATATAAATGTCTTCACTACGCTCACTGAAATTTTAAAAAATCTGAAAAACCCGTCACAGTGGCGAGAAAACTTTTCAAAATTTTTCAATTTTTTAACAAATTTTGAGCTGATGATTTATATTCAATAAACTTGTTTTCCAAAAGGTTTTGATTTAGGCTGTTATTAACTAAGATCTTTTCTCATCTATGAGAGAAAAGCCGTTGTTGCTCCCCTAGTAAAAAAAATACATGCAACTTAAGGCATTTATCTATGCTCGGTAATTTTTGCCTTAACCTCAAGCATCAGACAGCGATGGAAAGATGGGCTTTTCGATTGGGAGCCGGAGATTTAGTCAATTCTAGTTTTTGCATTTTTGTTAGCGAAGAGCGTTATTTGTCATCCATTGAGCAAAAGTTGGATGGTGGCGCTCAGCTAAAAAGATGTGCCTAGCAATCAAATGATTGCTGGTTCAAATTGCAAGTTCGTTGTCCTCCGGGCTGGTTGATTAAGCAAATTAATTTGAAACGAACAATAAAAAGATCAAAAGCAAAAGCTCGAGAAAAAAATATACCACAAAAATGAGCTTCGACTTAATTAAACTCATTCATTTCCTTTGTTGATATTTTAAAACTCATTTCGTTATTTCAAGCGTACGCGACCCTCTAAATAGCTTCCCATTTCGAGGTTCAATGGCCATTTCTGATGGCATTTTATAACATGTTTCAAAACCCTGTTAAGATTGAAAAATTGAATAGAGCCAACAGAGGGTTGTAAAACTGCTAAAGAACAAAGAAACCGAAAAAAAATTGATCGAGAAAATTTTAACATTTTTCAACTTTTGAATTTCCATGCAAAAAATAAATCAAGTTAAACATGTTTGAATTGCTAAAGCAATTTATGATTGACACTTTTTTGCTAAAAAAAATTAATCCAATTCAACAAAAATAGATCAATGAACACTATTTATATCCCGCCAGGAAATCTAAATATCAAAATCTACTTAAAATCTAGAAATCGTTTATTGGAGAGCGCAATTTATCTAATTTTTAGCAGATGAATTTTAATTCAACTCAAAATTTGCATAAAAATTAAGTGTATTTATAAATGCAATAAAATGTATGAACGTATATTTTCAGTATTAAGAGCATACTAAGACTTTCATGAAAAAAAAACTAACAAAAAATCATCAAGACCAATATAAGTGGAAACCACTTCGTTTTTTTTTACATTTAATTAGAAAGATTTGACTGGACTAACCAGCCATCTGTCTCTAGCCACTATGACACTGTCGAGCATGGACTCATAGAAGAGACAGTATCCCATCCACTCGGATACTATAATGTCCACCTTCTCCACACCCAGAGGTAACTGTTCTATCTCCTCCACTTTGCCCTTCACTAGAGAGACCACACTGCTCAGTTCGTTGTCCTTCACAATTCTCTCTGCGTGTTCGATGATGTTCGACATGTCTATCTAAACAAACGCACAAATAAGTGAAGCCCCCCCCCCCGCTCCTCACCCCCCAAACCTAAACCCCCCCAAAACAAAATCTAAGATTGTCCAGATTCCGCTTTAATTTATTTAAATAAATTAATGTAATATGGCTAAAAACTTTCAAAATTCAACAAATAGATCAATTAGTACAATAAATCGAATAAATATATGGAGTTTTTCTGAAGAACGGCTTAAATTATTAGGACGCCCAGAGATGAACCAAGTTCCCCAAAAACTGCTAAAGGGCGCCAAAGTCTAGGAGAGCAGTCTCTAAAATTGAATCGAATGCATTTCCGTTCTCGCAACAGATAACACTGAATCAAGATGCGTTGGTTGAAATAGTCCTAGACTGCAAAATAGATTCAGCGTCTCACTGTTTGCGACCGAGTTTTAGACAAAAAAAGCTATTAAAATGAAAAATTGCTGCCAAATGTGCAAAAAAAATAAAAAACTCAAGAACATCATTCTTTTTGTTTCTCTGTTTACTATCATTTGCAAAAGTCGTTTTCAGAGTTTTAATAACTGGATTAGCTTTATTGCATCTTAAAGATGCAAAATTTAGCAAAAAAAATATAGCTTGAAGCATTTCTATCAAAACCAATTAAGACAATTTTCGTTCCGGTTGAGCCGGATGATATAAAACTGACGCAATTTACACCATTTATACAGTTTCCTAAAATATACCAGCCACTAACCTCGCTCAAATTCGTCACGTAATAAACAACATCTTCCGACTTATATACTGTTCAACGCTCAATTTGTTCAACTGAACAATACCAAAATCCTCACCGATATCACTTCTCAGTTCAACTGATTTTCACATATACATTACTAGGATGTCTTCCGCTGCTACCAAAAAATCAACTCCTGCCAAGAAAACTATCAAATCGACTGTGCCTTCTCACCCTACATTTAACGTCATGATCACCAAGGCCATCAAAGACCTGAAAGAGAGAGGAGGATCAAGCAAGATGGCCATTGTCAAGTACATCGAAGCGAACTTCCAAGCAGGCAACATGGTCGACCATTTCGTTAAACTGACACTTCGAAAGATGTGTGAGGAGAATGAACTTGTTCACGCCAGTTCCAACAGCACTGGAGCTAAAGGATCATTCAAAATACCTGCCAAAGAAACCACCACAGTCAAGAAACCAAAAGCGGAGGCTAAAACTACAGTGAAAAAGACCGCATCTCCAAAAAATAATTCTCCTGCCAAAAAGACCGTAGCCAAATCAGTAAAGAAAAATAGTCCGAAAAAAGCCGCAGCTAAAAGAGTAGCAACTGATGCTAAGAAAGCGGCGTCTTCTAAAGTCAAAGCTACCAAGGAGACCGCCTCGAAAAAGTAGATGACAACCATTATCAAACATTTGAACAAAATTTTGTATCTTTTATTTTGCGCTATTTTTCTAACAAAAATTAATTTTTGACATCAACACTTCATTTCGTAAATAAGGCATGTAAGAGTAAAATGTTACATGCACTAGAGTTCCAGTGAAAAAGAGTTTTAAAATATGTACAAAATACTTGCCCACTTTCAAAATAACTTATTAAATCTTTTCCAACTTCAACTGTCCAAAGGGAACTGAATTCTAAGTAGGCACAAATTCTAAGTATCAACAAAGGCAAGTTCTTGTTGTGCGAATAGCACAATTCTAAAGTAAGACATTGCTCAGTTTGACACAAGTTTAAATAAAAACTTGGCTTTTGGGCTTTACTAAATCAAAGCTATTCATAATCAAAGCTTTACTAATTCGAAGCGAAAAGTTTTGGAAAAAGCTAGATTTCCAGAGAGCTTTTTTTCGACACCAAGAAATTTCTCCAAATATCAACGCAATCCATTTGGCGACAAACAGATCTTCAACGAATTCGACGATGAACTGCTAAGCGCATATGAAATTATTTGGATGGTGCGAGATAAAACGCTGAAAAATGACAAAACTTCAACCGAATCATAAGTTCTTTTTTCACATAAAAGACAAAAGCTAATTTTTCGATATAATCGTTCATCCCGATTAGTCTAAGTTTAGCGTGCCAACGAGTATCCCGATTAGTCTTAGTTTAGCACGGCGAATGAGTTGCATAGGTACATTATTCAGCCTAGCCAAATAATTGGTATTTATATCAACTAACTCCAATGACATGTTTTGCGCCTGCTCTGGCTGCAAACATGGACAGGATTCCAGTTCCACACCCTACGTCCAGCACCACTTTGTCCTTGAACAGATGTCTGTTGTGATACATGGCATTCCTGTAGGTCACTGTTCTCACTTCGTCTTTCAACATCTCCTCGTGGATTCCGAAGTGAGCGTAGGAGTCGAAGTAGTAGTCCTTGGAGGACATACCGTCACCCTCTGGACCCTTCGCCGATGACGATGAAGAGGACACAACTGTGTCTCCATGTGGCCCTATGTCTCCATTGGGCTCTTTGTGAAGGGCTTTGGCTGTGCAAGGGTCTATTCCGTCAATGGACTGCATCTTTTACCAGACACTTCTGAAAAAAAACTGAATAGAAAAACCAAACGATCGAATTAGAATCCCAGCAAAACGTGTAACCCATTTTTGAAATAAAGAAAGACATAATTGTTAAATAAGCAGCGGATATCACTACACAGAGGTGGATTTAGGGGATTTTCCAAAAAGTATCCAAAAACGGCATTTTGATGTTTTTTCGAAAATTTACTTGCGGCAAAAATTTTTGTCAGACAGTGTCTTTATAGTTTCGAACATTTTTACATTTTTGGACCCCCCCAAAGAAAATCCTCGATCCACCCCTGTTAGTACACATGGTGACTCTTCATCTTTTAGACAACATGAAAAACTGTTCCGAATTAAAAATAAAAACCTACTTGTTTTTCAAAACTCAAAAAGCTCAATTTTTTGTTTCTAAACAACAACTTGTTTGGCGATTATATCAAACAGCCCGTGATGATTTAGCAAACACGATTTGTGGTATGCCACACACGACTCATCGGCAAAACTCTTACAAGTTAAATTACACTTCCAAAAAAATTTCATCATGTTTATGGAGCACGACAAAAATGTGGAGACTCATGGGAAACATGTTGGCCAAATACTAAAAAGAAAAAATCCTACCAATTTCTCCTCAAACATACCATACTGCGTTATTTGCTGGTTCGAAAAACGACCAGAAAGGAGAAATTCCATCTTACTATTTCAACTAGAAATGGAAAAAACGACGGAAAAAATCAGAAGTAAGGAACCTCACGAATGGCTACTGTTAGTTGACCAGAGACAATTCCTACTTAATATTTAATAACAGAAAGCATGGTAAAATTTCAAAAACCTGCTACTTATTCCATACTTTATGAAAATTTCGTTCTACCAGGATTAATGAATAGTAAAGCCTTTTGTTATAAGGAACCGAAACAGAGCTTCGCAAAACTTAAGATACAACACAAACAGCATTGCAACTAAGCCAAAAGAACCGTCGAGCAAAAAAGTTGAAAAATTGAACAAAAAACAAGAAAATTAGCCGGTTACTGTGCAAGTAGCATAGAAAGTTCCGACCATTGTCTTTATGAAAACTACAAAAAAAATTTTTTTAAATAAGGGTAGTTTTTTTCTGCATGGTGATATAGGATATGACGTAAAACTTAAGTATATTCGGCAGAAAAATGACTAGAAAAACAAACAAAACAGCCAAACACAAAAAATCAAAAAAGAATTAAAGTACATTTCAATTTTTTTTTTCAATTTTTTGGCAGAAACAATTGGAATTTTTTGGTTCCCAAAATTTAGCTAAAAACATTAAAACTAAGTTTATAGGACTTGAATTAGGCATAATTAACCAAATGTAACCCTGCTCGCTCTCTAAATTCGCTCGACACAGGGGAAAATTTTTCAGAAACTTTTAATGTAATTCGAATCACGACTGGAAAGGCTCTAATATGATGTATCACTCAAGTCTCTGTTTATATGGAAAAAAAAAACTCAAACACCAAGTTCCTCGCATTTTTCAAATGGTCGGAACAAGTATACAAAATCAATTGATTAACTTATAAATTACAGAACGAATTTCAATTACAGTAAGCATTGCTTGAATCAGAACAAAAAAATACGTTCTTCGGAAAACAAGCCGACAAAAAAGCACACGAAGATAGTCCAAAAATTTTATGAAAACTGAAATTTTCTTCTTAAAAAACTAAAATCGTTGAACTATAAAAAAATTTTCAATTTCCCTACTAATCGAGAACAGGTCCGGCCGATGATTGAACCAGGATACCAAGGCACTTTCTTTACCACTAGACAAGTTTATTGAACGTTTCATAATATAGCATGAACAATTTCTTACAGATTTATTTATTAACTAACAGAACAAAAATCTAGTTCCCAATTAAAAGTACACTTGATCTCGCTCTCATAAGTGAAAAAAATAAATGCAAATTCAACAACTTCAGTCGTTTAAAAACTTATTGAAAGAGATATATCAGAAAAAAATTCCCAGCAATACAGTTGGCCACACAAAACATAAGTTGAAATCCTCAAAACATGATTACCTGCACTATTAAAAGTGGATAAACACAGAAATCTTAAAAACCTAAAAGAAAAGTATACGCATGACAGCCCGAAAAAAACTTTGTGACCAAAACAAGTACCCATTGCAAAAAATGATTCCATACTATGAACAAGGATAACCGGTTAGTGTGCAAGAAGCACAGAATGTTCCAACCGCAGTCTTAGAAAATACAAAAACACTTCTTTTTCAAATTAGTGTCGTTTCTTTCCGCATGATGTGATAAAAAGATCTGAACGAAAAAAGAACTTAGGCAAAATTGACAGTCATAGTAAAAAGAGCCATTCGAAAAACAGTTTTTGAAAAATTGACTAGAAAAACGGGAAAAAATTCAAAAAAAATTTAAAAAAATCAAAAATTATTGAAATTTTTAATCTTTGTTTACAAAATGGCGATAAAAAACTCCAAAACTACTTTTGTGTGAGTATAAATAAGCTTTCATGACTTCAAGTAAGTTTAAACAGGCTTAAACAGTATAAGCATACACGCTCACTCCATATTAGTTCGAAATTAGACCAAAAATCAATAATTTCAAACCGTTTTTACTCGACACTGTGAAAAAATTTTGAAATTTTTAGATGTCGTTCAATCACGATTCAAAGGGCTTTAATATGATATATCACTCGACATATTCCAAAAATTATTTGTATTACCTGATGTCGCGTGGAAAACAAAAAGAAAAAACTAGAACACACCCGAATACAAAGTTCCTCCCCATTTTCAAATGGTCGGAACAATTAAATAACTAATTATGGAACACTAGAGGTTATGAATATCTCAAAGATAGCTGATTAGCCATAACATCGTATTCGTAATTTATAGATTTCTTCGATTCAGTAACTATCCACTCGCTGTTACAACCGCTTCTCTCGTCTCTTGCTCCATAGCTACACTAGTTTGAAAAATATTTTGGCCAAGACCATCGTAGCACATCCAACTTCAACTCCCAAAACATGAAACACAACAGTAGAAAGAAAACAAATATCGTCAATTCCTCAAACCGGTGACTCGTCAATTCCTCAAACCGGTGACTAACAAGTACGGGAAATTAGTATGCTCTCTGAACGGACCTGGGTCTGACAATTTGCCTCTACAAACATCACTTCCTCATAAAACGTTCAACAAACTGTTCACTAATACAAAAAACAATCCGACAATCTACTCAGGGCAAATGAACGCAAGACAGCTTTACTTGTTTTTGATCAACCTCATTTCCCCCCTCAACCAATCAAGCAAGTAATCACGCAGAGCAAGCACCCAAGCGCACTCGGTTCAGATAGCCTTCAAATTATCCACTTTACTTGACATTTCCTCTAATCTTCCACTGTCTGAAAAAATAAACCCCAAATATGGAAAGAAACATTACCTTCCTTCAGCCCAAGTCCGAAAGGGACAACAAACTATCAACATCATATATATCATTACTCAGCGCCATTATTAAAGCCTTATAATAAGAACTTAATTGTGAACTTTATTATTTACACCTTTCGACAGAGCAACTCACAAAAACCACAGTCACAACTGCTTTCAGCCAGAAAACAATCAAGTCATCAATAAATTGTTTTGCCTAAAGCACTATCCTCGTCATGCTTATTTTTTCGAGCATTTGATAAAGAGTATCATCGCACACTCGAACTAAGGTATGGTACCACTCTCCCTGAGGTCTAGTTTAACGACCGAGTAATTCGCATTTGGTCGACAAGTCACCCTTAATTTCGGCACCAACATCACCTCATAAAATATTAAATCAAGAACATCACCAGGGCTACGCAGCGCATCAACCCTTTTCAACTTCTCTGCCCATCGCTAAAAAGCTTCGCATCAACTGATGATTTCCATTCGTTTTACCCAGACACTGACGTAGATGAAACATCATGCATACTCAATGATTATTTGCATCACCTTTAGCAGCTTCCACTTTTTATTCGATAGCCTTTGCCTGATCTAAAGGAGCAGTGACGCTTTTTCATCTTGCAAAAATGATTTTCACGTAAATGTCCACTTTAAAAAAAAATTCAGAAAGTTACACGTTACTTCTGATCCAACTTTTTTTCCAGTGCACAGTTCAATCAAAACCCGCATGATAGGACGCAGGTTGCAATGCGTTACTAGAATCTTAGATTCAATGTTGAAAAAACGCTCTTTTTACCTACTAAGCTTCAATTTGCCCCATTTTGACCTTTGTCACTTCAGTTTGGTCACGGGCCTTAATTAAAACCCCAATAAATAACTTGCAGGTAACTCAAAGCCCTGGGTTAATAACAGGCAGCACAGCTCATGATTTCCAATGTCCACCAGCACAAGAAAAACAACCATAGTCTGTTAACCTCTGTCTTCATCTTCCCACACTGTTCCAATCAATCAAATAACTCATTCCACATCCACCCCCTACATGCTCGTCCATATAGACCCTCCACCCCCTCGTCAAGTACGTCAATCAATTTCAAGCTTTTTAAAAGAAGAAACTGACACTCTTTCATTCATCTGTCACTGTATCCTCTTTAAATTTCAATATCTCAAGGAAGCCTCAACTTTCGTCTGAAGTCATTGTAAAAACCCTAACTTCCAAAGTCACTTGCTTTCCACTTTCACCCAACGCCAAAAAATTCTTACCCAGATCCACCTACTGTAAGTTTTCCCAACTCCGGTCTAGTTATAGTCGGTTTTTATACACACCGCTCCGGCTTACACAAATCAGTCAACACACTTTGCTTTCTGACACTAAACGAACACTTTTATTTGGGAGCTGGGTTGAAAACAAAGTGCATTCTAAACACTTGAAATTGAACATATACGAATTAGATAATTTTGATAGCTCGTTCCGAGTAGCGATTTAAATGAAAAATAGCCAAAAGACAGCTTAAAATATAAATGATATCAAAGATATAAAAAAAAACAAGAAAAACTGTCGCGTTTCATAGAAAACATTACATCATCTTAAAGCTCTCAGCTTTTAGTCTCTTTAAATTGACTTTTTCGATAAAACTATCCCACTTTCGAAACAGGTCAATAATTTATCTTTAGTTCCTCGGAAAAACAACAGGAAAATGTTAATGAACTCAAGGAGACAAATTTTAAAAACTTTCAAATTTCGAACTTCAAACAAACAATACATATACCTGAAAGCTCTTTGGTTTTCATGAATCTTTTACGAGAAACACTTGTCTGCAAAAAATAAACCATTTAAAAAAAACAGGATCATTAGAACATAGCCAACAGACAGTTGGAGTAGAGTAAAGGATCGCAAACATCAGAAAAAAAGGCATGCTATTTTGAAAAAATCTCCTTTCGAATTTCAAAGAAAAAATGAATGCTTTAAGGCTCTTTGAATTTCTATAACAACGTATGACTGACACTTTTTGAGAGAAAACTGGATCAATAAGTAAAAATCTTATTCTGCCGATATCTGAAGATTATAATCCACTATCGAAACTAGAAGTCAACCGCGCTTTTGGTGACCATTACACCTCGGCTGTTCGATACTGGAGTTTGCCATTCTTTTACCGAAAGAAATAAACTGAACTTGAAAAGTCGTTATGCGAAAAATGAAACATTATTAATTTATACATTTTTATTTTACGTCTCTACATTTTTATTCCGATAGAAATTTCGAAAAAATCGAACAAGAAGTCCTTCAAATTTACGCGCCAATTGAACTTCAATTCTCAAAAAGCGTGATTGGTCATTCTTCTAGCTAATGAAATTGAAATTACGCACAGAGGCAAAGCGGAGCTTCGCAACACTTGCGATACAACAGAAACATTGCTTAACAAGAATTGGAAAAATGAAGTCGAAAAAACTGCTTGATTAAATTACTTGAAAAAGTATATTACCGAGCGACAAGTATGGCAAAAAAATCTGATTGAACAACTGTTGAGCCGCAAAAAAATACGCGGTCATAAAATTTGTTGTAAGGATACGGGATGCAATGCATATAATTCAAAATTTCAAACACCAGTCTTACCCTTTATTCTCAGTGATTTCTACTGAAAAAAGGTAACAGAAGCTCAGGTTGATGAAAACCAGCTTTCAGTTTTTTAAATTGAACTCAATGTCAGAATTGACAGGTAGCTTTTCAAGAAATGGAAAAAATTTCAAACAAAATGAAAATTTCGGAAAAGGACTTTTCCCAAATCATACCTGCTTTCTTCAAAAAAGGGCGTGACCGTTTCTGGAGAGGAAATATCTATAACTTAACCTTTCGGTTGAATCAATTCCCTTCGAATTGTCGGGGCAATTTTGAGGAAACAAATAAAAAAGACAATTGAAACCTCAAAAATTGCTTTTCTACAACAAAATAAGTGTCAACCGATTATGCAGAGAAAATGGCTTCAACGAAGTCTTTCAATTGAACCATCAACCTTCAAAATAACGGGGCATTTTTGCCAAAAACGTTCCTAACAAGGATAGAAACCGCAAAAGAGTTTTTTCCTTAGTCATAATAGTCTTTCTACGAAAAAAAGTCGTTGTTGCATCTACAGGGAAGATGTTCTTCGGATTGAACCTATAATCACGGAGCCACTTATACAAGAAAGATTCCGAAAACTAATTTTTCCAATTCAAGTACACCTCAGAAAAAGAAAGTTTTCTTTAGAACACGACTTTTTTCATGAAAAATTAAAGAGTCGCAGCTTCAGCACAAAAATTCTCGCAACTCAGCACGAAAGTTTAGCTTTTTCTTAAAAACTAAAACCTCAATCTCAGATGCTGTCATGATAAAACTTTCAGCTGCAAAATTCTAACAATTTTTGCAGAAATAGTTGTACTGATATGGGATGCAAATCATATATTTCAAATTTTCAGAAAACTTTTTAATTCTTATTCTTAGTCATTTCAACTGAAATACGATTTAACACGCCCTTGTAGGTGAGAGCCTACTTTCCAATTTTCAAACTGAACTCAATATTAAATTTGAAGGGTTAGTTTTCAAGAAGTGGAAAAAAATTCAAACATCAAAAATTCGGCAATGCACTTTTCCTAAACCACACCTGCTTTTCTAAAAAAAAAATGTTTAAAATCGCTAATGCAGAGATGGCTTCAACAAAATCATTCAATTCAACCATTAACCTTTGAATTTTTGGGTCATTATTTGGCAAAAACTTTCCAAAAACCGATAGAAACCTCAAAAACTTTTCTTTAGACATAGTAGTTTTTCTACGAAAAAAAATCCTTGCTGCGTCTACAGGGAAGATTCTTAGAAGATGATGTTTCGATTGAATCTATAATCACAGGGCCAATTATACAACAAAGATTCCCAAAACCAGTGTTTTCGATTTATTTCTATATCTCAGATTTGGCAGGGTAGTTTTCGAAAAAATGAAACTTGCTAAAATTGCCAAAAACGGTGTACACCTCGGAAAAAGAAAGTTTTCTTTAGGACACGACTTTTTTCATGAAAAAATAATGAGTCGCAGCTTCTGCACAACAATTTTCGCAACCTGTTCCTTAAACTAAACCCTCAATCCCAGATGCTGCCATAATAAAATTTCGACCTATAAAGTTCTAATAGCTGTGCAAATTAATGTGCTGATACGTGATGCAAGGCATAGAAATCAATATTTCAGTAACTCTTACTCTTAGTGGTTTCTACTGAAATAAGTTATAACTAACTCATGTAGGGAGAGCCTACTTTCCAATTATCAAACTAAACTTAACATCAGATTTGACAGGGTACTTTTCAAGAAGTTGAAAAAATTTTAAACAAACGATCAAAATGTCGGAAATAGACTTTTCCTAAACCATGCCTGTTTTTCTCCCAAATATTATGATTAAAACGTTTATGGAGAAAAGATAACTTTATTAAAATCTTTGATTTGAACCCTTAACATTATAATTGCCGGGGCATTGTTTGGCAAACAATTTCCAAAAAACGACAGAAACCTCAAAAATTTTATTTTACTAGGTCATAAAAAATTGTCTACGAAAAAAAACGTTGTTGCAATTACACGGGAGACTCCCACAGGATGTTGTTTCGATTGAACCTATAATCACCGAGCATTCTCAGATGCGGCAAGGCAGTTATCGAAAAGGGAAATTTGCTAAAATTGGAAAAACGGTGAACATTTAAGTAAATAAATTTTCATACGGACAAGACTTTTTCATGAAAAAATTAGGGCGTCGCAGGTTGAGGACGAAAACTATCGCCAACTGTTCCTTACATTAAACCCTTAATTTCAGATTTCGCAAGGTAGTTTTTTAGAAAAGACGAAAATTTTCCAAAAATGCTTCCAAAAAAAATTCAAAAACGCTTCCTAATTACGGGAAAAAGTGTGAACTATTCAAATAAGCTAACGCGGCATGTCTAAACGATGCACATTCAAAGATACGCGATTGTGTTCCAAAATTGTTGCTTCGTGACATCATAAGTATGCAATTACCATGATACCTAGAAAAATACTGCTTAAATTATGTTCTCGCCCTTTCATGGCCATTGCTTTCACGACAAAAACCGTGTGAAGGCCAAAATTGAATTTCTCTAATATTTCCACAAACTACTCAACGAAATAGTCTCAAAGCACCAAAATGAGTCATCTTGTCAAAATTATTCTCCCATCTTCCGATCACGGAACGAACTCCATTAATGTCAAGTAGGACGAAAAACAAATCAAACTAAAAGAACTGCGTTTATGCATCCGTCATTTTCTGGATTGTTCGTTACTTGCGCATACTTCCCCCAGACAACTTTTCCACCTTGAGTAACCAAACCAAGCTCACTTACATTCACTTCTAGAACTGTTCCCTTCGTCACAACACCTAATGTAGTATACATTTTACTTCCTGGGTTCTTTTTTACGCCAATGATTGGCAAACAAAACGTCGCTTTCAATTCAGGATGAGTAACGTGCGCTTTTTTGAAACGAAGACCCATTGGACGGACAAAACGTTCAAACTTCGGAGGTTTTCTTGTGAAGTTTTCGCCCACAAACGTAACCTTGGTAACCATTCTTTTCCATTCCTTCTTCCTTCGCTTACCAGATTTCAGGACCCTGAACACTTCGTCTTCTCCTTGGGCTCTCACCTTGGGAATCGGAACATCCCATTTTCCCGCCTTTTCCTTTCGCTTCTGTTTCAAAGTGTTACTCAAAACCTTAGCCGTGTTAGTATTTTCCCTGTCCATCAAATAACCCGGAACAGCCCCTTCTTTTGCCGGTTTTTCTGCCTTCTTTTTCGATAATTTTTCCTCATGTTGACGGATAGTTTTCTTCATTTGAACTTTCTCATTGAATCTCTGTTTGTGGAATATCTTGGCCTTGTTCTTACGTAGAGTCTGTGACTTCTTGGCAAGCACGCGGACCTGACGACTCTCCTTCTTGCGAGTTCTTTCCTCGTAGTCTAACTGACGCCCATACCTTTTGCGATGCAACTCAATGTGCTCGTTCTGAGGCATTGTGATCTGAAAAAAAATTAAAATAGCAAACGACGAAAACTCCTCTTGAGTTTTCTTTACAAGCCTCTTTTTGGTAAGAACTATACAAATCCCTCACAGTTCAATTCCATCTCAGTTCCTTCCTACAAAAAAAAGGAATAATGGCGAACCTACTGTTCGTTCGGTCCCCGTCTGCAAACAGACGCGTGATTGTAAATTTTACCCTTTCTCTGAATTGAGTAATCAAAGGATATTAACCTCTCTTGTGTTAAAAATCACGTAGTTCATTTAAATTTGAATAAGCGTTTCCGTTTTACAAGCACTGTTTTCACAGTCGGAAGCTACGATAAACCTAATCAACTAACTGCACTTTAATTCGAAAACATTGCGCACAAAAATATAATAAATTGATAAAACTACGAGCAGCAGTATCAATGATTTTATGAACAAAAAATTAGCATTGAAGGTTTAATCTTTTCATGGTTCACACTGTTTTATTTTTTTCTTCTAGTCTCCAAATACTAGCGAGGGCGGTGCAAACATCAGCCTCCAAGCAAGCACCGATGAGAGAGTGAAGAATATTGTGAAGATATACACGAGAAACAAGAGCCGGTCCACAATCAAGGCAATAAACTTCCATTCTAGTTCAACCTGAAACAGAACGACGGTATTTTATTCGTCCTTATAGGAAAAATTAGCTTCATTATTTAAACAGCCAAAATGCAGTTGGAAAAGAGTCAATGAATATAAGGAAATAGAAAAAAAACTGACTTGTTTTTTGAAAAAACTACATCTGAATTTCAAAGAAAAAAATATCTGGCTACTTTGCCTTTCATTCAGCCAAATAATTTGAGCTGAACTTGAAAAAAACTGCGACAAATAAAATTTGAACATAAAGAGTTTTTCCTTAAAGTAAGAGTTCGAGCGAAAAAAAAACAAGACGCAAATAAGTGATAAATCACTTCGTTCATTGACACTTAATATGGTATCTATCAACATCCAAATTTACTGTTCTCTTGGTGAGGAAATATTGATTATTTCAGCCTGTTCCTTTTATAGGAGGATTTATAACCCAAGTGAAATGTCAGATAATGCAGTATTTTTGACTCCATTAAAGAAGTACAAAATACCATGAATCAATTGAAGTTGTAGTAGATGCTTGAGGCAGCATTATCTTGTTCAAAAGACAGCGATAAAATTGTTAAGAGCCAGAGATCAGTCTAAATCGATATGGCTTTTACCTTTTTAACGGGTAAATTGTTTTCAAAGAAACCGATTAATAATCAAACAATTTAAAATCCTGTTTTTATATCTGAACAAAAGCACTTTTTGTGTACCATATATTAGGATTAATCTTCAGTCGTTTGTCGTTTCATATCAAGAGGCAAGATCCAATTAGAGCCTGCCAGTACATGAATTGATTCATTTATTCATGTAATTTTGTATCAATCGCAACGCCAACTGAATATTCCACAGGGGATAAGGCAACAGAAAAACAATTTGTGAATGACGACTTCAAAACTTTGCTAGCGAATTAGAAATCCAATTAACCCTCATTCATGAATGCATTCTTTCGAGCAATAGCTCTTTGTATACTGGCGCGAAAAAATAATCAAAACTTGTCTGTTTATTTTAACGGCAAAGAATCTGCGGTTTGAAAAACACAGCTATAAAGGTCCCGCAATCTGCGAGGTAAATTGGCAAATTTATAACTGAATAGCGAAATCATAGGCTAGCTTCGAATCAAAACGCTTGGTTCATATTCCTCGTAAAAACTCGCAGAGCACTCAAATATGTACTTTAAACATAAGAAAAAGGCAAGAGCTACGAAGTTTTAAGAACATACACAAAAAAACCTGGAAAAAACACATGCCTTGAAAAACACTTCATCAATTACATTAATCACAGCTTCATATATCTCCCGTAGGCTTCATTAAAAATAGCTTGTAACCACTGCTCCATTAGTCTCAAAAACTTTTTTCGGTTCATTTGATGAATTTAAAATACATCAACTAAGTTAATTTATTACTATTAGAATCTCAAATCACATGCTATCAATAAGCCGTAAAGGTGCTCCAAAAGGGGGCAACAATATTTGCGACTTAGGTTAGAAAAAGAATAGTCGTAGTATAACACTAACGCTCACTTAAGTTCTTGGTGTAAACAGTCGGTCCCTCCATCATGAGTGACGCCACCTGAGCTAAGCACTCTGTAGGCTACTTATTTTCCTCGTTTAAACTCATTCTAGCAAAAAAAATACATTTTTGAGAAAAAATCAAATAACTAGAGAGATTAGACTTACTTGCGGCATATCTAAAAAAATGACCAAAAGGAGCAGAAAAAATTATGGCGCTGCCCAAAACAAGGTTAAAAAAATTGACTATTTTGGTGGATCGTTTTCTCAAATATCATAAGACAACCACTCAAGCTTTTATTGGCACCGGTGCCTCCCAGTAACGAGCTTATTAGGCAATCGAACTAAAAAACCATACAAAGGTATAGTTAATTTCGGAACTGCTGTTCACAAAAATTGACCGAAAATCCGCTTACAAATGGTGATAAAGGTTAGTAATTCAAATGAACGAATGGCTTGTCAAAAAGAACAAAGAAAAAGAATTCGGCGAAAACATTTCGGAAGAAGAAAAATAACGGTAACTGCCTGCCTGTTAATTTCTTACACATAGACAACAGAAAGTTGAAAGAGTCAATACACGAAATAAATAAGACAAAAAGACTGACTTTTTAAAAATTTCAATTCTCCAATTTAAAAAAAAAATAAAAGATGACCTAACAGCTCTTCGGATTTCTAAAACATTTTATGATTGACAAAATTTTTGATAAAATTAACCCAATTTGAGAAAACAGAATCTCAATAAGTTACAATTTTACTTCCCTGGGAAATCTGAAAACTAAATTCCACTATCGAAACTAAAGTCGATCACGTTTTTCTCCTTTACGTTTTGCTGTTCGATACATGAAATGACTTGAACTGCACAAGAAATCAAAAGTCAAACCGCGAAAAAGTATATTTGAGCTTGAACAAATTTTAAGACTTTCTGAAAAAACTCATCGCGACCTATATAAGAGTCTAAATTACGTTCATCGTCTCTTAAAAATTCATTCAAACTGAGAATTAAATTATGTACATATTCTATAGATCAAATCAAGCACTTTGACTCTATGGCAAAATTCAATAAGTTATAAGAACTGGTTTTCCATAAAAAACAACGCGTAGTCAATTTACCATTACTAATTTGCCCTACATTTGAACGAAATTTTTACGGAAAAAACAGCACCCTTTTACTGTCACTTATCTAGTATGTGATATCAAATTTCCAAGAAAATAATATATGGGATTAGGTGTTTGTGAGAATAATTGCCAGCCTTCGCTTTTTTCTACAATGTCAACATTAGATACATAATTAAAGCGCAATCTGTGGTTAACCATTCAGACAAGGGTGGCCCCCAAAAGTGCATTTATATTATTCAAGTAATCACAAGAAAAAGAAGTGTTTCCATACTCACTGCTTGTTTCATAACATCTCTTTTGGTCCTATTGCAAATATAGTTCACACATCCAATCGCATCAGCAGCAAGTTGCCAATCGTTGCCACATAATTTCCTCAATGATTGCTTGTATTTTTTCACATCTTCAACCGAAGAAAGCATATCTTCGTTGTCTTTCTTGGAACTTTTCATTTTCACTGACCCATTTCTGATAATAGTCGAGTGTTGATCACATTCTTGCTTTTGATCATTGCACAGATGGTCATACTCGACAGTGGTAAAATCACCTCTTTTGTTCACATGGCTGTTGAAATCTAAAAAAATCAAATTTGGGTAATAAGTTAAAAATTTTAAGTAAAAAAAACATCGATTTTATTTGAGGTAAAAAAGCTAAACTATAGGGTATTCAAGGTCAAGCCATGTAGTTAAGATCATCACAAAACATTTTTGGAATACCACCTTAAGTATCAACCTGGTTGCCCCTCACATTTTTACCAGTTGAGACCTTTTTAGTCATTAAAAAAGTAGTTCAAAAATATTCAATCGATGTGTCAAGTAGATGTCCAGAGCTTTCTCGGCACAGTCTTTTAAGCACAAGTACTGCCAGCTAGCCAGACAAAATCGACTAACACATTCTCTGATCCCGTCAGAACCAAAGTGCTTTCAATGAAGGCTTAAAGCTCGAATTAATGCTTCTATTTATTTCAAAAAAATTAACCAGAATAACCGGTTATTTTCGTTTACGTACAAGTACTAGACTCTGTTCCGGCCTCAATCACCCTTGCGACAAAACAAAACAAAAAATTGTTAAATTTCTGCCATTTTTTCGTAGGAATGTAGGAATCAAAAAGTTCATTTCCAAGAAACAAAAGCAAAATAGCGAACAGAGAGTTTGAAAAGGGTTAATCGTCTCACACACAGAAAAACGGACTTATTTTCTGTATTTGTTCTTTGAAATACAGAAAATCTATATTTATTCATTGAACAGTATACATATCAATACTTTTCAGCTTTTTGATTTCAAGAAACTTTCAAGATTGACAAGTTTTCATCAAAATAACCCATTTTGGGAGACCAAATCGATATATAATTTGAGTGATCCGCTATGATTTCTTCAAAAAAATCAATTTGCGATAATTGAAGTCAAGCACTATTTTTGGCGCTAATTCCAATTTTCATTAGAGAGCATAATTTGCTCTCCATTTGGCAAATGGATTCGAAAAGCGAACAATCAACAAAATCAAAAAACAACCCACCAACCTAGAACAATAATAACTGATTGCTGTTCAAATAGCACAGAATTCCACATTTATTTCAGAAAAAAAAATTAAAATCTAAAACTATTTTCATTTTTTGTTCTATTTTTTCCTAGACGACTGCATTTGAAACAGGTGTAAATGCAAGAGTAAGATGTAAACAATAACTGAAATCATTCAAACTGTAAAAGAATTGAACGGCTGCAAGAGTGGTACTACGTGATGGTTCAAGACGCAAAAAAAACGGTCTTGAGTCGCAAAAAAGAGCTTCGCTCAACAAAATAACTCAGACTGGAATGTGGGGAAATAAGAGAAACGGTCTATACTTAGACAGGCTGGATAGCCTTTCATAGACCCTCTGCAATTAAAAATACAAAAAAGGTTTTTTCTAGAACATTCTAGAACTAGGCATATTCGACAGTCATAATAAAATAGGTAAATTGGAAAACAGTTTTTCTGTCAAATGCTTAGAAAAACGAAAAAAAAAATCGTAATAAAATCAAAGAATAATTTTGGAATTTTTGATGGTCAATATGGCGCAAACAAACTACAAAAACTAAATTTACTAAAGTAAAAAGAAACTAAACTAAGCATAAACAAGGATAGCCGGTTACTGTGCAAGTAGCACAGAATGTTCCGACCGTAGTCTTAAAAAACACTTAAATTTTTCTCTCAACTGCTGTCGATTTTTCTGCGTCGTGTGATAAAAAGATCAGGACAAAAAAATTAAAACAAGCATATTCGTCATTCATAGTAAAACAGGCTAACTGGACAACAGTTTTTGAAGAAAAATAACTGGAAAAACAAAAAGAAAATCATTGAAAAATCAAAAATCAATTTTCAAAAATCAGTTCTCAAATTGACTCGATTAAAACTAAAATGAAGCATGAATAAGCTATTGTAAACGGCCTAAATTGAGCATAAATAAGCTTGCTCGCTCACTTGTTGTACTCGCTCGAAAATAGACGAAAAAAATCAGAGCACCTTTTCTCGACACTGGAAAAAAAAAATTGAAATTTTGAAACTTTTGCTTCCAAAAAGACGTCAAAATACTGAAAGTAAACAAACGTTACCCAAGTAAAACTAAGTTTTTACGGTTTACATTAAGCAATTGTAAGTTTTTAAGCAATAGTAAGATTGCTCGCCCGTTTTATTCGCTCGAAATAGGACGAAAAATCAAAAACTTTAAACCAGTTTTTCTCGACACTGGGAAAACTTTGCGAATCACGACTATAAGGGCTTTAATATGATGTATCACTCAGCCCAGTCTGATCATTGTTTGTGTTACCTGATTTTGCGCGAAAAAAAACTAAAACACTCGAATACAAAGTTCAACCCCATTTTTCAAATGGTCGGCACAACAAACACACCCGATACAAAATTCTTCCGCATTTTTCAAATAGTCGGAACAAACAATTGAATAACCTGTAACTATTGAAGCCACTCCATGTAACGCACTGTTGATGTCAATTGTAAAATGTGTAGGGTAGAAATCTAGCCACAAGTACTTAGGCCACACGAAGAAAATCTTTCTTTTCAGCCCGGCCGGTATTTTTATAGTCTTCGGTCCACGGTAGAACACCGACATCGAAATGACCGAGAACAAGAGCGACACGAAAATCATTATTTGCGCGAATAAAAGATAAAACGCCAGCATAGGTAGATTACGAGAATTCACAGGTATTATTTCAGACACAATTAACTGCAACATAATGAGAGCTAGAAGAACTGTAGTTCCTAGTGCTATTTTCTCGTGACAGTGACAAGGTATGAAGAAAGTGAGCAGTGATATTCCGAATACAAGAGTGATCGGCATGACAAGATTGACGCTGTAGAACAGTGGCTTCCGCTTGATGTTCAGCCTCATGGTTAAAATGTCGTGTTTCTCGTTTCTAAACAAATTACGGATCTACTTAACAATCTCCCCCCCTATTGTATCTACACTAGAATCTCCACCCTTGTAAATAAAAACAGTAAATTCGCACTAGAGCGTTGTATGTAAATTCGAAATTTGCTGCATTCTGATTGGTCGAAAACTCGCTGCAGGTTATCTCTTTAACAATCTCTCTCCCCTACCATTGTTAGGTAGATATCCCAAATTACGAATTTTTTGAAAATGAAAAATGTTCCTGAGTTGCATTAAAAAATCCTAAGAATTGACTAAAATATCCTTAAATCAATTGCAGAAATATTCTATCGACAATTTTACTAGCAACATCTGAATACAGCACAAATTAATTAGTCAGCTGCGATCGGAAACTTAACAATCTTTTTTGCACACTCGCTACAATTTTTTTTGCACACTTTACAATTTCATATTGGCACTACAGTCCGTTTAAAGGATTTTGGAGGCTTTAAGATCAGTTTCATCGTTCTAAGTCAAAAACTGTAAAATCAATTAAATGCAACAAAATGCCGACAATTTGAGAAAATTATGCCGACAATTTGATAAAAATGAAATCTAGGATAGTGTTAAATGTGCCAGAGCTTGAACATAATTTACTATATCTGAGTTTTTATAAGAGTTAGTTATCATTCGGACTTTTACATTGAGTTCACGGACTTTTTACGGGCTTGATTGGTGGTACGGCTGGTGGCTTTCAGAATATTGAACTTCTGGTTGTAAGAATCAAGCTGAATTTTTTCTAAAAACATATGAATTGAGGTGTGGCTGCCCTGGAAAAGCGACGTAACGCCGTTATGCCAGCCTTCAACTGCATTGGTTGCTCGAATGAGACCAGCCGCCGCGTTGTCGTAATGATTCCAAAGAGCTAAGGGGAACAGAGGATCATAAATTAATTTTTAATCCTCTATGGGATATTTTAATTGACGTGGGCTATATTGGTATGAGCTATTGTGTTCATTGGGATATATTGGTATGGGATATTTTGTAATGGGATACTTTCGTATGGGATACTTTATCCTGTCACCCAAAATTACATATCCTTAACCATTCAATGATTTCATTATAAGGGCGGCAATTCGTAAATAGGTACCCTAGAGAGAGGGGGATAGTTAAAGAGATCGGGCTTAGAACTATTCACCTGCCTTGTCCGAAAAAAAAACTTATTTTTTTGATGTTCCGATCTCTACTCGCAGCGTTAATTACTTCTCTTGCAACATTATGGAAACATTTTGTACATAGACTTGGCTAAAAATCATCGAAAACCCAGACTGCGAAAACATCAGACAGAATTGTATACATTCTAATTACGTATCTGCCAAATAAATGTACTATTCTCAAATCAATCCCCCCAAAAAATGGAAGATTAATGTTAATAATTAACAGGGACTTTTCAACCTCACCTGCCTCTGTTTGTTCACCTTTAGATCACGCTCCGGATTCATAAAAACACATTACTTAGTCTAATATAAAACACTTGCCTTCTATCTAATCAATTTTTTACAGTAGAATTACAACTATCCATTGTAAAATAAGAAGTAATTCATCTTTCATTTGAAAATAAACCAGAATCAAAATGCAATAGCTGCAAGTTTAAGTTCATATCCAAAAATTTTATACTAAGCTTTAAACGCTCAAAGAAACATTCTTTAAGCGACAATTTATATTTGCAAAAGAGTGCAAGCATAAAATATTTCAAAACGACGGCTCAAAATTCAATACCGATTTTCAGATTTTAGTTCACGTGATCGCGTTTTAGGTCGACCAAATTGATTTTCCGCGCTCTCCCAAAAAACTAAAAAGGCTCGCCCCAAATTTTCTGCGCCGCAGGCAAAATTAAAAAAAAAACAGGCCGAAAAAAGGCATTTGAAGGCATTTTTTTTGGAAAACTTTCTCCCCCCTCAAAATCAGTTTATATTGGCGCCGAAGGCGCCTTTAGAAAGTGTTAAGGTTCCGTTGCCTAACACGAATTTGTCAAAATAGTACAGAGGGGGGACCCTTTGGGTCGGCAGGGGGTCGAATCCCTGAGAGGGGGGTGTCCCCCCTAAATCCGCACTTGATCGTGTTCATGAACTTCGCAAGTTAACGCGCCAATATTTACAGGAGAGCCAAAACAACCTGTCAAATTCCGAAAACTCCGAGTTGGTGATTTGAGAAGACGAGATCACATCCCACTCGGAACTCCGCGAGTAGTCGTCCGAGAAGTCGGCATGGGCTGTCTTCGGTACCAGTCTCAGCCGACTGCTGCTGTAGGCCAGGGACGCGAATTTGATATCACAGCTTTGCTCATCGTACGGAAAGAAGGTCGCATCTGAAACAAAATCTCGCGTCTGGGATTACAGTGATTTGTTCCAGAGATTCATGGGTTAAATATGCTTCAAATAAAAATCTATAAGTTCGACAAACAGTAATCTGAGTTTAACACACTTATCACAGCAAAGAATACGATGAGTCTGATTATTGTTCCGACAACTATCGAAAGGAACAAAAACGTAAGTTTGGTACCTCAAAAAAAGCTCGCACGGGGGTTGAATGAGGTATTCATTAAAACCCTTTCTGTCGTGATTCGGATTCTGAAAAGAAATTTCCATAAAACTTATGCGGAGAGAAAAACGCATTCACCAGCAATAAATGAGCATTTAAAATCAATTATCGAGCGACAACTAAGCCAAAAATATTTCGGTAGACGTCACTTGAGTCGAAAATTTCTTATGCCGTATTACTCCGGACACAAGCAAACAATATATTTTTTGCTTTCAAACTACCCAAAATGAGAAAAATAAGCCGAAACCATTTAAACAAAACAGGAAACCATGACATAGCCAACAAAATACTGGAAAAGCTAAAGAACAAGGAAACTGAACGATTAATTGGTTGAAAATTTTGGAACACTTTTCAACTTTCAATGAATTTTAAAAGCAACTTATAATTCACATATTTCGATAAAAAATTAACCCAATGTAGCAAAACTGGATCAATGGATAAATTTTCTATTCCGTCGGAAATTCGAAAAACTAAAATCCACTTTTGAAACTAGAAATCGTTATTTGTTTTGCGCCATTTACGCTTTCTTAAGAGCCCAATTCATCTAAATTTTAGCAGATGAATTTCAATTGAAATCAAACATAGCCAAAAACAAAAACACTTGGAAAAGAGTCAATGAACGCATAGAACTTGAAAAGTAGATGCCCTTAAAGCTTTTTAATATTCTTTAACTTTTTTTGAAAGCATAAGTACAAAAAAGATAAAATTGAATGTACATGTTTGAATTTTTTACTTATGCGGGACGAAATGCGTTATTTCAAAATTCGGACTTTGCTCAAAACCTTGGTTGTTCTCTAATAAATAAGTAAGAAAGGTAAGAATTATGGAGATTTTGGAATTTTCACAGAGACAACCTTTCTTTACTACAAATTACGGAGTGACCGCTTCTGTAAGAAAAATTAGATCAACCACTTCTTTCAATTGAAATTTTCATCGGTTTAGCCACTTGAATTTTCGAAATCAGAAATTTTTTCTGCTTAAAGCAGTTCGTGGCCGGTAGGTAAAGCAGAAAAGATTCCTAAAATGGAATTTCTCGACTGAAAACTTAATCTGAGAATTGGCACGGTAACTTTCGAGTAAAATTAAAAAAAAACTTCCAATGAAGGTCAAAGTTTAAAAACTTTAACTTGTTTGAAGGTCATAAATTTTTTCTAAAAGAAACAGTGCGTAGCAAGTTATAAAAGTAAGCTTCCATCAACCTGTTCTGTCGATTTAACAAGATTTGGCAGGGTAGTTATCGAGAAAACTCTAAAAAACGGCCAACAAACCAGAAAGTTGACCTTTCCGAGAACCAGAGATTTTGTTTAACCGCAAAAACCCAGATGGGGTAAATATCGAGAAAAAACGAACCGTTTCAAAAAAACTCAAAAAAAAAATTAATATTCTGAGGACGATATTTTATATAGAACAATTGCGAGTGGCTGATAAGGCAGGGGAGCTTCTCACTACCACTTATCTCTTAAGGCAAAAGAGACCAGGGGAATTTGCCAGCACACAAGAATGTAGGCGGTCTTTATATGAACACCCCTTCTTGGAAAATTGATAGAAGGATTTTTGAGGAAAATTTTTTGCAAAAAGTGATAAAATTTTCCAAAGCGTCTCAAAAAATCAAATAAAAAACCCATTCCCATACACTTTGGTAATACTTGTTTTGATCAAACAGAAACTCTAGGCAAATATGCCAAGCAAGATATTTGAAATTCAGACTAGCAACTGAACAAAACTTACAAAGCGGAAACAAGGCCAACAATCTTTGAGCAGACACCAGTTGAGCCAAAAAAACTGATTCAGTTAAAAATAAACCGCGAAAAAAGAAATTTGAGCCTGAACCAATTTCAAGACTTTTCTTGCAAAAAAAAACTAACAAAAAAATCATGACTTACATAAAAGTCTAAACTACATTCATCGACTCTTAAAAACCGCGTATTTTCCTTAATGCACTCATAAATTCTTGAATATGCATGATATCCCTTCTGAAACTAGTAGAGCCTTTTTAGATTTTTTCTGAAAAAAATGTATATAAAAAACATCAAGACCTAAATAATTAAGAAACTTAAGTTAAGAAATATACCAAAATCTAAAACTTGTTAAATTTATAGAATGTATTTCAACACAGAGGGGATGCGGAGCTTCGCATAATTTGCGATACCACAAAAACAGCATTGAAAGCTAGCAAACAAGAAGGGAAAGGAGAGCCACTAAACGTAAAGAAGACGGAAACATTTTCGAAGAACACAATTAAAAAAAACTACAAAATGTTGTCTGAAATGATGTTATATTCAGGAAAACACGTCCAGAAACAAATTCGAATGAGCTTAATGAAAATTCAAAGAAATTTATCAACCGAAAACAAAATTCATGCCATGAAAATCTTTGAACAAAAAATTCTATTCTGAGATTTTTGATGTTTTGTGCGATCCGAAGGAAAGCATAAAATAACGGTTTCCGCGAACGACTCAAAATTAGGTTAATTGGCCCATGAAAAATAGGATTGGAATAGCTCGAATCAGAAAGAAAGTGACGCTATGAAGAAAGAAATCTCATTGCTTCAAAAAGAAAGCCGGAAAAATTGAGCAGATAAATAAGTCCCGCAATTCTAGTTTTACCCAGGCAATCAATTTCAACACCTATTAGAAAAAAACGAGGTCCGAATTGGACCAGAACCTTACACCTCATAACCCAAATGCATGTGTTTTACCTCTAGAACAAGTTCTAGACCAAGTGAGAAGAGCCTGGAAGATATTGAGGTTCCATATTTAAGCACAGTCAATTTCTTACGGATTTATAGGAAAAATTTAGTCGGACAAAAAACTTAGATCCTAATTAGCTCTGGCAAGTAAAAAAAAAACAACACAGAAGCTTACAAAAATTACAAATGACAAAAAATTTATCGAATATGAAGTTGATATGCAAAATTATGAGAGCTGAATCACAACAAAAAAGATAACAATGAAAAGAGACCCGTGACGGAAATTAAAAAAAAAACACGAGAATTCAATTATTTTTTGAAAAATTTCAGCCAAAAAAATCACATTTCTGACTCTCGTGGCGACACTCGCCACATATCTTGGTAAAAACCAGTCGTGTATAAAATTGCCAACAGGAAATTTCCGAAAACATTTAACATATTAAAACAATACGCTTAGTCATCAACATCAAAATTGCTCCCGGCAAGATGTAGACCCACTATCACTTCTGTAGCTCTAGATCAGCTGTTCAACTACAGCTCCTAAACTATAACCGTTAACCGTAAAATTTGCGTAGAAATGGATCTCTTGAAATTGAAGATCTGATCCTGTGAACAACATTATTTACGGGGGGAAAAGTCTAGTACCCGATTGCAATTTGCTTGCTTATCGCAAGAGTAAAAGTATTCGAAATATTTTTTTCTAAATTTTATAATTCACTAGGACAATGAGCGTGGTCGGAACATACTCGCCCCGCAACTGGCTATTCATGTCGAAATTGTAGACATTGCTGCACCTCTTGGTAAAACATGTTGTTACTGCAATACTTCCCATTTCGATACTATTTACAATATATATTAACAGATACATTCAAAAACATCAAGGATTTTGACAAAATCCTTCAAATAGTCTTCTTTCACTTTCTTCTAGCTCAACTTCAGCAATTTGGCAGACTTCAGTCAAACCACCACTTAACATAATCTGCTGAAAATCTGAGTGGCCTTCTTTCATTAGATGTTTTATTCAAGCAACAATCATAAAAATAAAGAAGTTTTATACGTCATAAAAATCATAAACACCACAATAAAAAGATAAAAGCCAAGAACTTCAACAGACCCTCACACTATTGCAAAATGGGAGATATTTGGTAAGAAATATCAAAAAATTGGACTTCAAAGCTTAAAGTCATAAAAATCCTTCGAATACCATGACACAGAGTCAAAGCCGAGCTGCGCACCATTCCATACAAAAAATAGGCTATCTGAAATAGACTACATCGCCAAATTTACTGACAATTATAGTAAAATTGCTGAAATCAGTGAAAATCTATGCTATACAAACTTAGCCGACAAAAAATAAGCAGATAAGCAGACAAACGATAACCCGTCAACCACTTTCCGAGCAGCTTTTCAATTTCCAGAAAATTTGGCTACTGAACAGAGTCAAACCACAGACAATTGTCGTCCCACACCTTTGCGTTATACTTACGCTAAACGGGCAAAAAAGTAAGCTGATGAAATCTGTTAGCACCCAGAAATCATTTGCACAATCGAAAAAAAAACGGTCATGTGAAGTTTGGAACACGCCTTGTCAAACTGAATTGCCAATCAAAATACACACGAGCAAAAATTGAAACTTCAGCTTTTCGAAATCAATAATAGCAATCTGGATAAAATTGAACCGAATCAAAACATTTGATTTTAATTATGCTCCTCGTGAAAATTATTCAATTATGCCAAGTCTGGCATTATATTTGGTAAACAAAATTCATATCTAAGATAACTGACAGTTTTGTTCAGCGTATTTTCAAAACTGCACTGCTTGAAATCGGATCGAACCTTTTTGATACCAGACATTCAGGACACTTTATTCTACTGTTCAAACAAATAAGTCTCACTGTCTGCTACAACAGACGTCAGTTAGCACAAAATGTGACGATTTATCAGTCATGAATTGCACCACTGGTTGAGTTTTTAGATTCAATAATATTATTAAGGAAAGGACGCCTGCAGAGATCAGAGATAAAAACAAGAAAATGAAAAAGTTTCTAAAACAATTTTTGGTGTTTTTTTAATTATCA